TGATGAAGCTTTACCTCACATACTTCAGGCATGTTGCTAGGAGGGGCTATTCATTGGAGAGTGACATGATGCTTGGAAAAGTGGAGGGTCAGTGAAGGAGAGAAAGACTCAACCAGGTGGATTGAAATGGTGACTGGAACAAAGGGCTCTAGTGTGTCAGGAAGTGTGAGAATGGCAGAGGGTAGGACAGAGTTCAGATCTCTTGTTCATAGGACTGCTATGGGTTGTGCTCAACTCCATGTCACCTAGCAACAACAACGTGGAAAGTTCTCCTTTAGGAAGTGGATAAAAGTCAAGACTCAGCCACCTCCACATTGCATCTGCTTCTTTTACAGGGATAGAAAGGTGCCGACTTGATGGCACTCAACAACAACAACTACTTAATTAAAAAAGGATCCCCTGATTCACATGTAAGAGGTGGACAGTGAATAAGAATGACAGAAAAAGAATTGATGCCTTTGTGCTGTGGTGCTGGAGAAGAATTCTGAGTATCCCATGGACTGCCAAAAGAACAAACAGATATGTCATGGGAAAAATGTGGCCAGAGTGGTCCTTGGAGATAAAGATAATGAAGCTCCATCTCTCATACTTAAGACGTGGTTCTAGGAGAGGCCTATTTCTTGGAGAAGGACATCATAATTGGAAAGATAGAGGGTAAGTGAAAGAGAAGACCCTCAAAGAGATTGATTAATGTAGTGACTCAGTGGGCTCAGGTGTGTCAGAGATGATAAGGATGGCACAGGATGGGACAGAATTCAGGTCTTTTGTTCATAGAGTCAACTGTCAGTCATACTTGAATTATGTAAAAAGAACAAGGGCCAGATGGGGATGACCATATTTAACCTTTACCAACTTCACAAAGGGAAACTGTCCCTGTAAATACCACCAACACCACAACACCAATTTCTACGAGGTCAAACATGTCCCCCACACTCTCACATTTCTTTCTACTCATCCCAACACCACTCTTAGTACGTTACTGGGTCCAAAATCCAAAGCAAGAGCTCACAGACCACATGGAACCATATTAGGGAACTAAAAGAAGAATATAATTTAGGTTAATAATAGAATACACAGTGTGCCCTGGCCTAGTTTTGACTGCTGATTTTGAGCTTCTTCAAAGATTTTTTCCATAAATGTAGTCAGTCTGATTCCTATGCAGCCCATTGGGTGAAATCCACATGTAAAGTTGTCCTTTGTGTCTTTTAGAAAACGTATTTGCAATGAATAAATCACTGTAAATACAAAATTCAATCATTCTGTTTCCAGCTTCTTTTCTGTCACTGAGCCTGTATTTTCCAACTACTGCTCCTTCTTCACTGTTTCCTACTTCTGCATTCCAGTCACCAATTATCATTAACACATCCTGATTACATGTTCGGTCAGTTTCAGATTGCAAAATTTGGTAAAAATTCTCAATTTCTTCCTCTTTGGTACTAGTTGTAGGAGTATATACTTGAATAATAGTTGTGTTAACTTGTCTTTCTTGTATGCATAGGGATATTATACTATCACTTACAACATTGTGTTTCAGGATAGAACTTGAAATTGACTTTTTGACTATGAGCGCAACACAATTCTTCTGGTTTTCATTCTCTGCATAGTATACTATATGATTATGTGTGTCTGATTCAGGTCATAGTCTTTCCAGTTACTAGCTATGCATCTGAGATCTGGACAATAAATAAGCATGAAAGAAAAAGAATTGATGTCTTTGAGCTGTGGTGTTGGAGAAGAACACTGAACATCCCATGTACGGCTAAGAGAATGAATAGATATGTCTTGGAAAGGGTGCGCCAGAGTGCTCTTAGGAAGCAAGATTGATGAGGCTTCTTCTCACATAATTTGGACATATTGCTAGGAGGTGCTATTCCTTGGAGAATAACCTGATGTTGGGAAGGGTAGAGGGTCGGTGAGGGAGAGGAAGACCCTCATTCAGGTAGTTTGACACAGTGACTGCTGCAAAAGGCTCTCAGGAGTCAGGAAGTGTGAAGATGATGTAAGATAGGACTGGGTTCAGATCTTTTGTTCGTAGGGTCACTGTGAGTCATACTTGATGGCGCCTAACAACAACAACAACAACAGTAGAAAACAGTCAAAACAGCTTCTGAAATGTACTTGTAAGCCCCTCAGCTTTAAGCCACAAAGCTTTAGGCCAGTGTTATAAAGATCTCTGTCCTGCCAGTTATGGCCCTCCCTTCTTAGTCTTCCAGCCAACTTGGGCAAAAGGCTCTCATTCAATGGCTTTGCAGTTCTAAAGTCCACTTCATTTTATGTCAGGTCTCTTATTCTCTCCTGTGGCTACTATGGCTGCTACTCCGATAGCCTCTGGTCTGGCTGGCACAGGCATCTCTGGCCCCAAAGGGCATGTTGTGTTCTCTTGCTACTTCTTCACAGGTGATGAGGTTTCTCTCATTCTGCTGTTGGATCCACCCAGTTGAATGGCGAGACTAGCCAGTCTCCTTATGGATAGGTTAACAACCTTATTCCTGCCCATCCACAAGGCAAAGTAAGTCAATGGCTAGGGAAGTCACTTTGAACAATAAACCCTTAACATCACAACTTGACAGTACATAACAACAACCATCACCATGAAAAAGTAAGTTTAACCTGTCACAGGTTATATAGTCTGTTCATGCTTTCCAGAACTACATCTGTAATTTGCACCAGGAAAGTCTACTCATGCAGGAATGTTGTAACAATGTCAAATTGCTCTAAGTTTCTAAATGTTTATTTTCCCTTTCTATGCATTTTTGTTTTTGTTGAGGATTAGTTGACTGCCATGAGTCTATAGATTGTACTTTTAATAGCATCAATTTAGGTTGTCAATAAATTTTTACAAGAAGATGCTTTTCTGAACATCAGTTTGCATGTGTCATATTCATGTATGAGTTTATTAACTTATGGTAGATAGTATTTTTTTAACCTGTACAAAATATAAAATTAAAAATGTTTTTTTCTAAAACAGTGTAGGAAATAGGTTATCTCATATACTACTGATGAAATGGATTGTTTACAAGGCAAGAGTTGAAAATAATTTCCAAAATCTTACATATTCACATTGTTTGATTAACCAATTTTCAAGAAGTCAGGACATGGCACTGGGAAAATCTGCAGTTAGGGACCTCTTCAAATTATTGAGGAGTAATCATGTCCGTTTGAGGACTAAGATGCATCTGATTCAGGCCATGGTCTTTCCAGTCACTTGCTATGCATTTGAGAGCTGGATAATAAATAAGGATGACAGAAAGAAGAATTGATGCCTTTGAGCTGTGGTGCTGGAGAAGAATACCCAACATTCCATGGACTGCCAAGAGAACAAATATGTCTTAGAATGGGTGGAGCCAGAGTGCTAGTTGGAGGCAAGAATGATGAGGCTTTGCCTCACATCCTTTAGACTTGTTGCTAGGAGGAGCTATTCCTTGGAGAGGGACATGATGCTCTGGAAGGTGGAAAGTCAGCAAAAGAGAGGAAGAGCCTTGCCCGGGTGGATTGATATGGTGACTGCTACAATGGGCTCTTGTGTGGGGGGAAGTATGAAGATGGTACAGGATAGGACAGAGTTCAGCTCTATAGTTCATACGGTTGCTATGAGTTATATTCAACTTGCACACAGGATTCAGATCTGTAGTTCACATGGTTGCTATGAGTCATACTAAACTTGACAGCAACTAACAATGACGGCAGCTAATACCAGAAGTATTTTAGTTTATATCACCCAGGTGAAATTGGAATCTTTTCATATATTTAGGAACTCTTTGAATATCTTTTGCTAACTCGCAGATTTTGCTTATGAGAAGAGGATAATTTTTACTCATTTTTGGTTGAATGTTTTTTATTATTTAAGGGAGCTGTGATGGCATAGTCCGTGGGGAATTTTGCTGCTGTCCCAAGGGCAGGGCCTTTTTGGTAGTATGCATCTACCAGTAACTCTTCAGAAGATGGACAGTCTCTTCTCCTATGATTTATAGCATCACAAAACCAGCCAGCTGGAGGATCAGCCATGAGGTAGTTCCCACTTGATGACTCAGGTGGCCTAGTGGTAAGAATCTGCACTGAAATCTCAAAGGCTTGTAGTTCAAATCTCTTGGCTTCTCCACATGAGAAGGACCAGCAACCTCTTCCCGGGAGATTAACTGCCTCTGAAAACCTGTTGGAGGTTCAGCTATGGGTTGGTTCTGGCTTGATGGTACACAATATTAACATATATAAAGAATATGTGATAAATATTTTTCCTTAATTGATTTATTGCTTTAGAAAGTACTTTTAAATGAATACAGTGGCTTGTTGTTGTTATGTGCCATTGAGTCACCTGCGACTCATAGCGACCCTACATGTACAATAGCTCTGAACTCTGCCCTAACCTGAACCAGTCTTACTGACTCCCACACACCTAATCCCATTGCCCCAGTTACTACATCAATCCATCTCATCTGGAGTCTTCTTCTTCTGTTCTGTTGTCCCTCCATCCTTCTAAGCAGGATGTCCTTCTCCAAGGACTGGTCCCTCCTGGTCACATGCACAAAGTATGTTATACAAAGCTTCAAAGACCTCTTTGTTCTCTTGGCAGTCCATGGTATGTTCAGTATTTTTCTCCAACAGCACATCTCAAATGCATCAATTCTTTTGTCATTTTTAGCCATTGTCCAGCTCTCTGATGCATAGCAAGTAATTACTAAGACCATGGTCTGGATCAAGCATACCTTAGTCTCTAGACTGACATCATTGCTTTTTAGCACTTTGGAGAGTTCCTTGACTGCCATCTTCCTCAATGTAATTCATATTTTGATTTCTTTACTGCTGGTGCCAAGGGTGTTGATTGTGAAGCAGAACAAACTGAAATTGTTAACAACCTTAATCTCTTTACGTCCATTATGGTGCTGCAGATTGGCCCAGTGATGAGAATCTTAGCCTTCTATATTGTCAGCATTAGGAAAGATAGAGCTGGAATACTAGTTTCAGTGGTAGCTACCTTAACGCTATTTCTTACTTTGCAACAGGTGCCAAAGGAGGAGAATGGACTGCAAAAAATGACGACAGAACAGCCAAATAGAGAAAAGAGTTTGCCTAAAAGAAAAATTGCACGTATGTTTTCACTTTTGTGTTGAATAAAATAATTTGAATAGTTTAGAAATTGCAACAGTTTGGAGAATTGGCAGTAGTGTTTTCATTAGGGAAAAGAGTTTTCTGAAGGAAGTATTTGTTTGCTCTTATTCTGGACTCCATTATAACTAATTCCTAGAAATTTCTATAGCTTATATAATTGATTATTTAGTGGCATAGTATTTAGATGACAGGATATGACTGACTGACTGTAGGCCCTTTAGGTTTTAAAATTTGGTTCACAAATTTTACCACCTAAGGTGAATTACTGTTTTCAGTGTACTCTCTTTCTTCATCAATAAAATGTAGATAAATAATACTTGCTTGGTAAGTCACTTAGCAGAGACTGAAATAAAAAAATTAAATTACTATTTTTACAGTTGCAGTCCTCTTAGAACATTTGCCTTCTGAATTATTCAATATGATGTTATTTAATAATGATTTGTTTTATATTTTAATAAACTGTAAGAACTAGTTGGAATTATTACAGTAGTTGAAGATAAACAAGAATTTCCTTCATTATGAATTTAATTAAGATATAGTTCTTAGTTAGCTGTTAATGGTTTTTGTTTGTATCATTGCCTTATATTTGTGTGTTTAAATATATTGAATATATTTAAGTTATTTTCAGTCTTGATATTTTAGGTACTATAGTTTAAAATGCATTAATCTTACCAGGGAGTTACTCATTCCTTAGTGTCAAGTCTTTCATCTTTCTGGTTCAGTTTTTTCCTAAACATTTTACTTTTTTAGTTACTAGTGTAAATGAAATAGTTTTCGTAGTTTTCTTTTTTGAATCATTTATTCTTGTTGTATAGGAATGCAACTTTTTTTTTATATTATACTTTGCAACTTTGGTAAATTTGTATATTAAGTCTAGTAGGTTTCTTGTGGATTTTTAAGGACTTCCTACAAATAAGATCATACCATCTAGAATTGTTTTTTCTTAATTTGGATGTTTTAATTTCTTTTTCTTGCCTAATTGCTCTGGACAAAACTTCTAATTTAATGGTTAATAGAAATTCCAGTTTATATATTGTACATCCTTTTTTCTTGATATTATAGACTGATGAGCACATCCAGGGCTGTATTTGTCATTTCAAGCATGTCTATTACTATCACATTGATTCCTGGGGCTTATCTTTTGCCAGCGCCTTCAGTGCAGTTCGAACTTCATCCTGCATTACCATTGGCTCTTGTTCTTATGGAATTGTAGAATTTTTTTAGTATATTCCTTCAATCTTCTTTAGATGCTTCCTGGATCTGTCAGGATTTAGCCCATGGTATTTCTCAGCGTTGCAACTTAGGGATTGAATTTGTTTCTCGGTTCCTTTAGTTTGAGATATGCTGAGTTCTTCCTTTTTATTCTCTGAGTCCAGCTATTTGCACATTATGGTATAGTATTTTGCTTTCTCTTCTTGAGCTACCCTTTGGATTATTCTGTTCAGCTCTTTACTTTGCCATCTCTCCCTTTTGTTTTGACTTCTTGATGCTCTAAAGCAATTTTCATAGTCTTTTCTGATGTTGTTGTTATTGTTGTTATGTGCCGTCAAGTCGCTTGTGACTCTTAATGACCCTATGTACAACAGCCCTAAACTCTGCTCTGTCCTGTGCCAATCACACTGTCTCTGACACTCCCATCCCAATTATCCCAGTCACTGAATCAATCCA